CTCTGAGAGAAATGGAGTTGTGGTGGTTTTTCCTTTCGTTACCCATCGGCGAGAAGCTGCATGGCCCAAAACCTAAAGCAGGATCCCAGCCTCGGCCTGCTGTGACCCTGCGCCACTCGTGTTGTGAGACCTGCAGCTGGGATCCCCGGCGGTATATACGGAAATACAGGCTGGGCAGTCGCAGAAGGGAACGAGCTTTGTGAAAGCAAAAGTGGAGAGCTGATCTTTAACCTGGGTGGTTTTTCCTTTGCATGTTTTCCGAACAGGATTTCCTCCTGGGACAATCCATGCCAAGGGGCCAGGCTCCTACAGAAAAGCCCAGTCTCCTATAGAAAGCCCAGGCTCCTATAGGAAAGCCCAGGCTCCTATAGGAAAGCCCAGGCTCCTATAGGAAAGCCCAGGCTCCTATAGGAAAGCCCAGGCTCCTATAGGAAAGCCCAGGCTCCTATAGGAAAGCCCAGGCTCCTATAGGAAAGCCCAGGCTCCTATAGGAAAGCCCAGGCTCCTATAGGAAAGCCCAGGCTCCTATAGGAAAGCCCAGGCTCCTATAGGAAAGCCCAGGCTCCTATAGAAAAGCCCAGTCTCCTACAGAAAAGCCCAAGCTCCTACAGAAAAGCCCCGGCTCCTATAGAAAAGCCCAAGCTCCTATAGAAAACCCAAGCTCCTGTAGAAAAGCCCAGCGTCACCAGCAGTCCTCTTCTCTCTCTCTCAGCAGGTGCTGAGCCAGGATGGGTTTTGCCGAAGAGAAAGTGTACGACTACATTCTGAAAAACCTCCGGAATTTCAAGAACATCCGTGTGGCGTCGCTGGCCGATTCCCTGAGGTGCCTGACCGACGCTGACAGAGTAATTCCCTGCTTTCCCAAGTCCTGCCAGGCTCCTTCCCCAACGTATAGCTCAGGCAGCGTACAGCTGCCTTACCTTTAAACCAGACCCCCTCTTAGATGCTCTGTGTGTTTTATTTAGGATGAACTTTACTCCCGGGAGGAGATGCGGGGGAGCCAGGCGACGGCCTATAGGTTTTACCAGCACCTGAAGTGCCGGCAGGGCTGGGTGCCGGATCTCATCGACGCTCTGCGCCAGAACAACGCGGGGCACCTGGCCGATGAGCTGCAGCACGTCTATGACACCTGGCAAACCCGTATGTCACCTCGTTGTCCTTGTGTGCTGCCCCAGGGGGTCTGGTGGAGATGGGGACCCCTGAACCATGTGTCCTGGTGTCTGCCGAGCAACTGGCCTCTCCCAGCCCCGGCTTCCCAGGGGTCTGGGGTGTCTGTGACCATCCCCAGGGATGTCCCTCACCCTGGTGACATGCCTGGGGATGGTGGGGTCCTTGTTCGAAGCTGCTCGGGTTGGCGGTGGGCTGGGTTTCCCTTCCCGGGGGGAAATGGAAAGGTGAATGAAGGGGTGCTGCAGGCTTGGCTGATGTGGGTACAAGAGCGGGGCAGGCAAGGGGCTGCCTCAGCCCCGCGCTCATCCTTCTTGGCTTTTCCCATGACGTCCTCGCTTACGAAATGCCTTGGCTCCTCCAGGTCCCCCAGCTGCCTCGTCCTCTCCTGCAGCCAGCGATGCTCGTCCCGCTGTCCCTTCCATTGGTGCCCAGACGCCGTCCCAAGGGCCAATCCTGGCTCCGGCTGAGCCATCATGCCAAGACCTGCCTGCCGGTGGCTGGCCGGGGGCTGTCCACCTCTCCCGCCCAGTGCTGTCACCACCACGAGCACAGACCTGGATGCCCGGGCCCCAGTGCAGGAATCGGTGAGCAAGGCACACGTCAGACGGGGACACCAAGGTCCCTTTTGGAGCAGAGCGTTGGTGGTGTGGGGTGTGAGGAGCCCGTGCAGGGCTGGGCTCATTGAGGGACACCCCAAGCAGCCTCTTGTTGCTGATCTCTGCTGCGTGCTTGCTGCATCTGGCACCTTACAGCCCACGTATGGCCCTATAAGTGCTCCCATCTCCTGCGTCCCCTCCACAGAGGGGAGCATAGGGTCTGCTCCGTTAATCTGGGCTCCCTGATGCCCTGCAGACATCCTGCGAGCTGTGTGTGGGGTGTCAAGGACAGACCCTCTCATCGCCAGGCTCATGTGGGCCATGGGGTCGAAGTTTGGGGCACCCCAGTGGTCCCAGACCCCCTCATCCAATTTTAACAGCTCATTTCCTTCCAGCTCCCCAAAAACCTGGAGCAAGACAGTCCCCGGCCACCTCCACCTGGGAGCGCGGTCTGTGATGAAGCAAGTGATGGGCACGGCAAAGAGGAGCATCTCCCGCACCCCATCGAGGCTGTCCAGATGGCAGTGACGACCCCCGGGGCAGCCAGCGCAGCCGTGACATCAGATGTACTCGCCCAG